TCCACCTCAGTCCCTTTGATGGTCAGAGGCAGCAGAGGGGAGGGGTTCTTCCTGAAGTCTACTATTATTTCTTTTGTCTTGTTTATATTGAAGATGAGGTCATTCTCCTCTCCATTAACCAGAATGTCGTTCACCAAGCTTCTGTAACCTGACTCGCCTCCCCCCTTGATGAGGCCCAGAATGGTGGTGTCATCAACAAGGGCTTAGACTGCTGGGGAGTCAGCTGGCGTCAGTTGGTCTTTCAGCTGATGGTAAATGTCCATGCCTTCTGTTGGGCTAAGGTAAGTCTCTGAAAATTGTGACCGGGGCTGATTCAAACTATGGCTGGTGAATGAAGACAAGGGAAGGTTAGCATCTGAGAGAAGGATGGAATGGGACATTGACAGGCGCATCGGTGCAGCTTCTGCAGTAATGCGGTCAATGTACCGGTCCGTCGTGGTGAAGAAAGAGCTGAGCTGTAAGGCAAAGCTCTCGATTTACTGGTCGATCTATGTTCCGACTCTCACCTATGGTCATGAGCTTTGGGTCATGACCGAAAGGGTAAGATCCTGGATACAGGCGGCTGAAATGAGCTTCCTCCGCAGAGCGGCTGGGCACACCCTTAGAGATAAGGTGAGGAGCTCGGTCACTCAGGAGGAGGTCAGAGTAGAACCAGTGCTCCTACACATCGAGAGGAGCCAGCTGAGGTGGCTCGGGCATCTGTTTCGGATGCCTCCTGGGCACCTTCCTATGGAGGTGTTCCAGGCATGTCCCACACTCGAGGCGGCCCCGGGGAAGACCTAGGACACGCCGGAGGGACTATGTCTCTCGGCTGGCCTGGGAACACCTCGGCATTTCCCCGGAGGAGCTGGAGGAAGTGTATGGAGAGAGAGAAGTCTGGGCATCTTTGCTTAGACTGCTGCCCCCACGACCCGGTTCTGGATAAGCAGAAGAAATTGGATGGATGGATGGATGGATGACAAATCATCTAAGTCACTCTGTTCACACTGAGGCATATCCATCACTGTGACATGTTTCTCTATCTCAAACATAACTCTGTTGGTTTATAGACTTCAGTCTAACTTCTCAGTCCTCTCTGCAGATTCTCAGAGTTTACACTCATCCTTTCTCTCTCCCTATCATTCATCCTCATTTTACTGTAGATCATCTTCTTTTAAAGTATCTGCAGTGTTGTGAGGGGGCAGGAGGTGTTTGTTTAGGTGACTGACTGTCAATATGTCGCTGTGTGCAGCTCCCAGACTGAACCAAAATGGCCTTTACATAGTTATAGACGTAGCCACTATGAATAAGTCTACAAATGTTGGTGCTGGCAACTGGTTTATCAGGACAAAGTGCTTAGAGAAACACCAATTACCCATTTTGTACAGTGTAAAATGGCTCGATTGTCATAAATATTAACTAGTGATGTTCACAGGAGGTTTGGTTAAATGTCCGTCGCTGTCCCCGTTCAGTGATATGAACTGTGAGTTCTGAGTTTTAAACCCAGCGTGAAGCTGAACCTCCAGGCTGCAACTCTCATATCTGCTGCCCGAGGAGTCTCTCCCTCTGGTGGGTGCTCACCCCGTGTATATACAAAAACTTAAAAAGTCCCAAATGGAAAACTAAACCTGACCACACACCCTTATACACAAGGCTTTGATCCATATGACAGTCACATTGTTAGCGGTGGATCTGGGGGAGCAGCCGCTTCAGTAAATTATTCAGAGCTGATTTTCTAGCAGAGAAACATGAAATGTGGATGGCTAACACTCAGGGTGATGCTGAGACAGGGACTGGTTACAGTTTGAGTGACATTTCATTAGAGCAGGACAAAACCCCTTCTGGGAGTTTTGGGTCAAATAAGCCCAGCCTACAAAAATGTATAGGCCAAATAAATCAATAGCTGTTAAACTATATAGATGTTAAAATGTTCATTTTATGACATGCCATTTCATTTTATTTACAGAATTAAAATGTAATTTCATAGTTCATTTAAAAGCTTTAAAAGTGTAGCAGAAAATTCTTGTCTGTGAACATGCACATGGTTTATTTGTGGTGTATATGGAGAAATGTGATCAGTCTACACCTAACCTTGCAGGACTTCAGACTGTCAATCTTGACCTTCCTTATTTGCAATTGGCTGTTCGTTCATCAGCATCAATCAGAATAGTCCTAAAGTGGGATAAGGATTCCCCTTAGCCAGACACTAAGCTGCAGAGACCAGACAGGGACGAGACACAGATGTAGCAAGAGGACGAGAGTAGA